GAGTACTAAGGGTACTTTTTAAAAATTTAAATGTCAACTGATTATAGGTGTTAACTACACCCATAAAAATACCTGCACAGCAACATCTAAATTAGTGCTTGACTGACAACTGGATTCTACAGTTGTCAGTTCAGCCAAGGTGAAACATAAACTAACCATACAATCTGTTCTTTCTCAATATAGCACCTGTATACAGTTCTCTGAACCACATGTTATCTCCAAATAAAAACAGTAACAATGACACTTGTGCCCAACATTAGTAATTACTAACCCATTTTTGCAGCTTTAACTTCCGAATATCCATTTTTATATCCAATATGTATACATATATATATAATTGTCATAGTTATATACAATATGTATGTAATAAATTATATATAACAACACATTATATAACATACTATTTTAGGTGGTAGGGAAGGAAGATACTAGTTATGAAACAGGATTCCTGTTCTTGAGGAGATAATATTAGAAGGGAGAAGATAGACACATATCAATAATTTTAATTCAAAAGGACAACTTTTCAAAATGCAAGGCAACTTTTGAAAAATAGTATAAGGGAAATAAGATGAATTGCTAGGATTCTGGAAAAAGACTTGTGTATTAGTTACAACTTTCACAACAAAATATCATAGACTGGGTGGTTTAACGAACAGAATTTTAGTTTGTTAGGCTGGAGATAGGAAGTCCAAGATCACAGTGTCGGCAGGGTTGATTTCTGGTGAGAGCTTTCTTCCTGGCTTGCTGATAGGTGCTTTCTTGTTTGTCCTCAAACCACCTTCTGTCTTTGCAGGAGGCACTCTCAGCATCTTTTCCTTTTTTCAAATTTTAGTAACTTTGCATTATAGTGGTATGTGAAGTTAAGGTTCTCATCACTGAGAATCAACATGTATATGTTTTACTGTAAAACTTAACAGTTCACTGCTAAAAATTCAAATTTATTCTTCACTATACCACTCTCTTTTCCTGATTTACCCACCTCTTTCTTCCCATCCCTTCTGCTAACCACTAGTTGACATTATGGTCCCAAAGTTCACATTTTGTTTAATTTAGTTCATTTTTTAAATCTAAATATCCCCTATGAGTGAAATCATACGATGCTTGTCTTTTTCTGCCTGGCTTATTAAATCAAGCACAAATGCCTTCTCTGTCCATCTAGATTTTTGCAAATGACAGGATTTCGTTTTTTTTAAAAAGATTTACTTATTTTTGCATACAAGAACTGGGGTATAGGCCAGGGGCAGGGGTGGTGAGAGGATTTACCAGAGACAGAGTGGGGAGCAGAACAGGCAGAATGACAAAGTACACTGCTGAGGGGAGGAGCGGGCAGGCAGGAAAGTTCTGCTGGGCTATGTGGTCACCTCTCTTTCTGGGGATTAAACTCCTGCTGAAGCGGCTGCATCTAGCTTCATAGTGCTGTGCTTTAACTCGGAGCACCACCAGGGAGGACCTTTTTTCCTTTTTTAATGATAGCTGAATAGTAAGCCACTTCGTGTTTGCCCATTTGTAAGTTGATGTATAGTTCAGTTCTTCTCGTTGCTTTGAGAAACTGGGCTGTAGGCCAGAGGTAAGGTGATTCACCAAACAGAGAGAGAGGAGCACAACAGGCAGATGTACTGAAATACACCGGTAAGGGGAGCACGCGAGCGAGAAGAGAGGTCGGCTGCGCAGTAGGTCATCTCCCTGGTGGGTCTTGAACGCAGGCAGTAACAGTGATAGTGCTGAGATTTAACCGCTAGTGGCCTTTTTCTTTACTTTTTCTTACAAGAATTTCAGTCTCACAGGATTAGAGCCCCAATCTCATGTCCCCCATTAACCATAATTCCCTCTTAAACACCCTATCTCCAAGTATAGTAACACTGGGGGTTAGGATTTCAACAAGGGCAATTTTTTTCAAAATTTATTTATTTGTGTATATAGAACTGGGGTACAGGGCAGAGATGCAGGGGCGGTGAGAGGATTCACCAGAGACAGAGTGGGGAGCAGAACAGGCCGACTCACGAAGTACACTGCTGAGGGGAGCCGCCAGCGGGTCAGTTGAGGTCTGCCATGCCATGTGGTCACCTCCAGGGCAGGCAGGCCGGGATCGAACTCATGTTGAAGTGGCGTTAGCTTCTTAGTGCTGTGCTTTAACCTGCTGGGCCACCAGGGAGGGCCCAAGAAGGGCATTTTTGGAGATAAACAACTCTGTAGCTATCCCGTGGCAGCATTACATTCTTGACTACCATAACGTTCTTATAAGTATTTTAAATATTTTTTTCTTTTTCTTTTCTTTCTTTCTTTTTTTTTACAATGTTTGCTTTCTTTTCTCAGGCGTTTGACTTTCATAAATTTGATTTAACTTTTGAAAACATAAAAGTGAGTGCTTCAATTTTTTTTGTCATTTAAAAAATTGCTTAGAATATTGTGTCTCTTGTATCTCCATATTAATATTGGGGTCAACTCGTCAATTTCTTCCAAAAAGTCAGCTGGGATTTTGACGGGAACTGCATTCAATCTGTACATACATTAATTTATGGAGTATTGCTATATTTTCAATAGTAAGACTTTCAGACCATGAGTATGGGATATCTTTCCATTTGAGACTTCTTTAAGTATATTGTTTAGTTTTCATGTACTTGAGAATTCTGTATTCTGTTGTTGTGGTGATGTTCCACAGATATCTACTGGGTCAGGTTATTTTGTAATATTGATCAAGCCTATTTGGTTGCTGATCTTCTCCTACTCCTAGTTGACCATTATTGAAAGTGGGATATTGAACATTCCCAAATATTATCCTTGAATTCTCTATTTCTCCTTACAGTTCTGTCAATTGTTTGCTCAAGGAAAGAGTTCTGCAAATAGCATATGAGTATGGCATCTTAATATTTTAACAATATAGCCTTTCTAGTTCATGTTAGTAAATATCAGTCTTTGCTGTACAAGATACCAAACTGCAGAATGTGATGTCTTTTCAATTATCTAACAGTAAAGACAAAACATGGAGAAACAAAACAGTAAAATAATATAGTACATCATAAGTAGTTTTCCAATGTAAATTTCTTTCAGTAAAAATCTTTATTCCATCAGTCAAACTGTTTACAAACATATTTTTTAAAGGTTTATCTATTTTTGCATACAATAGCTGGGGTATAGGCCAGCATGTGGGGAGATGAGAGGATTCACCAGACAAGAGTGGGGAACATACTAGGCGGGTTCACTGAAATACACTGCTGAGGGCAGCAGGGGACGAGACAGGCAACATCTTTGAGCCATGTGGGTCACCTCATTTTTTTTTATTATAATATGATAGTTTATTTTTACATCATTTTGTACAACCTCATATTTTTAAGAAAAAAAGAATAGACTATACTGTTTCAGAAAAAAAGATGGTCAGTAAGACACTTCTAAAAATGGTTTCTGTAATGAGTGCAATCCTCTTCAAATACAGAATTCATGAAGAGAATGAATCAGAAAATTGCTGGTTTAATCTTACTTACATGTGGACTTCTTTTTAATATATTTTCTTATTAAACTATTTTGAATAGCACAGATTGCTACTTCTGTTGACAGTTTTTTTTTTTTTACTTAGCTGTCTGAGGTCTTTTAAAAGTGGGGTTTAAATGAATCTCAGTAAATTTGCTCATTACTGATTAGGAATTCCCCAAACTAGTTCCACAAATGAACTTAACTGACTCCAATACACATTCACTGGGCTTCTAATATCTTAAAACTATTTTGTAACAAATGCAAAGATATTTATGTTGGGAAGATAGAAATATGTATACATTTTCTCAAGTAGACTTTTCAATGCAATTTGGGAAAACAGAAGGCTAAGCTATTACATTGTAAAATCAAAGTGTAATAATACTCAGTTAAATGCACAGATATTGTTTATAGTTTGACAAATGTATAAACTGGTCACTCAAGATACAGAAAGTATCCAGAGAGCTCCCTTGTGTATCTTTCTAACCAACTCCCAACCAAGATCAAAAGAAACCACTATTTTGATTTCTCTTCCATGCCAGTCCTTCATATTGATGGAGTTTTACAGTACCTATTCTTTTGTGCCTGCCTTCTTTCACTAAAGTTGCTTTTATGATTCACCCATGTTCTAGTGTGTATCAAGTGTCTGTTGCAGGAGTGTATTACTATTTGTTAATTCTTCTGTTAATGGCTATTTGGTTGTTTGAATAAATGACCATTAATTGTCAATGAACAAGGTTTTTTCCCCTAAGAGAATGTGAAATGTAAGCTCCTAAAAATTTCCTTCTCATTCAGTTAAACAGAGTGTAGGTAATCTAATGCTGGCTTAAAGGTTTCTTCAGAGCACCGCAATAAAACAGTAACAGGTTAAAAAAATACTGTTTTTCTATCTTTACATTTTTGCCTGTTATACATAACACAATTACTTAAGCATGTAAATCAGAGTTAAGAGTTTTGTAATCTACAATTCTTGTTAACCCTGAAAGGCAAGAAGAGATGGTAGTCTTAAGGGAGCGTGTAGTTATTCTCTTTTCAAGAACAGACTTAGTGAAGGGGTAGATAACATTAACCTTGCTTTGTAGTAAAACATCTCTTGGGTAGGTATAACTTTCTGATGCCCAAGGACTTTGTTCTCATGCCAATCTGAGTTAGAAAAGGGAGAAACTGTAACCTTATTATCAGATCCCTTTGAATAACAGTGTGAGCATTGAGACAGAACCATAGTGTAAACTCCTTAAAAAAAAAATGTTACTTTATAACCTTATGGGAAAACAAGAGTTGAGGTGCTAGAAAAAGAAAGCAAAGAGATAGAAAGGCAAGAGAGGTGTTGGGTGTAAAGTTCACATAATGGTATAATTAAATCTCTTTTGGTTTGAAGGCTTTCCATGGAAACTACTTCATCAAGAAGTTATTTAATACTATATACCTGCCTTATATTTATTGTTATTTAAGTAATGATGTTATGAAGGTTTTTGCATCTTTCTACAAAATGTCATTAAAGACATTCTGGTCAGATTTGTATTCAGATCTCCAAGTCTGAAGATAGACACTTGGTAGTGTACCAGTATGTGTTAGTTTCATTTCAGTGTTGCTTAAAAACAGTATTTGACCATACATTGAAAGTTCTCTATCTTCGATGATAACCCGTTATAACCTTAGATATTTTCCTAACGTAAAACTTGACTTTTCTTTCCCTTTTTTAAAATTGTGGCTAAATATACATAAAATTTATCATTTTAACCAATTTGAATTGTACAGTTCAATGGCATGAAAGGCACTTGTTAGGTAGTCCTTACTTTCTTGCATCAGTATTTCTTAAACTGGAGTGTTCAAAAGTATTTGATAAGTTTCAAAAGAACATTATTTTCCTTTAAAAGATTTTTCTATATTACTCAAAAATAGGAACCAGCCTCTGGGCAGTAAAATCCTTCTAGAATATAGAATATTTCTCTCTTGATATAAATTAGCATTGTTTTTTTCTTCAGATAATGAGAATGCTATTGAACATTACGGTTTTCCCCTTTTTAATGAAAAATACAAAACAAAATCCAGCATTTTTTAGTCGTAGTTATTTGCCTATATATTTACTCATAAATTGTCCAGTTATACATGGTCTACATTGTACCTTGCTTCAAATACTTTTTTAAAGAAGTATCTAGTATGTAAGTTTTTAAAATATGCTGGAAGTTTTAAGTTTTGGCTCGAAGTACTTTCTTTAATAACAGCAACTAACATTTTTAAAGTACTCACAATATGCCATTTCATTGTGCTCATCAGTTTACTGAATTACATAGTAAAACCGCATGTTAGGTTTGTTATCACCACCACTTCACAGATTCAAAGAATCTCCACGATGTCATGAGGTGGTTCTGTTAAGTCTCCAGTCTGGGTGAATCCAAAAAGCTCAGCGTCCTGACGATGTGCATACCGCATAGAAAATCTCATCTTCTATTTGCATTACTGACGGTTCTTGTGGGGGACGCTCACTCCTGCTCCCAGGTGTGGAACCCTGCCTTCTTTTTTTTCTTTACCTGCTCCCCCCTCCCATGTCTTCTGACAAACTTTTTAATTTGCATCAACTCTCCAATCAAATTTGCCCTCTTAATGGAGTCTTCGACCGCTCTTCGACCCAGGTCCCTTACAGAGCCTTCGTCCGCTCCTACCCTGCCTTCATCCCTCAACAGAGCCCCTAACCTTCAAACCCGGACTTCAAGTACTTCCAGTGCCCTGCCTGTCCCTTCACAGCTTCGTCCCTCCAGCAGAGGTACCCTCTGATCTCCTTTCAGGGGTCCAACTTCTCAGCCTCCCAGAAAGCCCATTCCCTCAGGCCTCCGTCCTCCAGAAAGCACAGGTCTCGGTTTCCCAGCAAAGCTGTTCATCTTGTGTACAGCAGACAGCAATAGCCAACAGGAAACTTTCGCAGAGGTTCCTACAAAGGTCCTAGTTCAACCCCAATTCAGGGTCCTTCTCTACCTTTCCCCTTTCAATCTCCTCCCCGCACCGTGATTTTAAAAAGTGTTCTGCTTCTTATTCACCGTCCTCAACTTCCCCGACCATCTCGTGGCCTACTTTCAGTTCTTAGCGTCCCCCCAAACTCACCCAAATCTCTTTCTTCGCTTCGTTGCTATCTTAACCGGCTCCGTACTTTACCTCTCACCTTGGTGTCTTCAGGCCCCACCGACCCGGCACTCCTCCTCTGGCCCCGCCCCGAAGGAGCCCCACAGCCAGTTGTCCCGCAAAGCTCCGCCCCCTCCAATTCTATTGGCCACTGATCTAAGAAGTCCCGCCTCTACAGCTTCCAGCCCGCCTCCCTGCTCCGCTTCCCTTGTTTTCATTCCCCCTGTCACACGAGGCAGAGGCAAACCCGAAATGGGCGGGGCGAAGTTGAGGGAGGGAAAGGGGAGGAAAGGCAGCGGAAAGTGAAAGGCACAGAGCGCCTCTCTTTCCCAGGTCTGAGTTAGTTCTCGACTGCTCCGGGCCGCAGTTGTATTGTGGGATCGCGGCGCCGTGACTGAGACGCTTGGATCCGCAAGGGAGCCCATTCGCTAGCGCCTCCTGTCGTCGGTGAAGCTGCCCTGCCATTCCTCAGCACCCCAACTCCCCCCCCCCCCCCCCCCCCCC